AAGGCGGTCAGGGCACGGCTTGGTTTCATACATTTTAGGGAAACACCGGAGTTTAACAACGTGTGTAAGACGGACATTGGCTCGGTCCTGAAAGGCGAGACAGTTTGAAGCAGGGAGGGGCTTCCAGGTTATAGGCAGATAAACGGTGGCATTCTTTTTTTTAAAAAAATTAATTAACTTTTTTTTTGAGGTAGAGTCTTGCTCTTGTTGCCCAGGCTGGAGTGCAGTGTCCCAATGTCGCTCACCGCAACCTCCATCTCCCGGGTTCAAGTGATTCTCCTGCCTCAGCCTCCTGAGTAGCTGGGATTACAGGTGTGCACCACCACACCCAGCTAATTTTTTGTATTTTTAGTAGAGACGGGGTTTCTCCATGTTGCTTGGGCTGGTCTCGAACTCCTGACCTCAGCTGATCCACCCGCCTCGGCCTCCCAAAGTGCTGGGATTGCAGGCGTGAGCCACTGAGTCTGGCAGGTTGCATTCTTCTGAGTTTCTGATTAGACTTTCCAAAGAAAGCAATCAGATGTTCATTTATCTCAGGGAGCACACACATGACTTTGAATTCTGTCCATCCTTTGTCTGCAAGGAATTTTCTTGTGGATAAGTCTTGAGGAAGATATGCGATTTTTTTTTTTTTAGATCTTGGTAGCTATCTTTTTTAGGGATAGAATGGGAGGCAGGTCAAGCAGTTGCCAGCCTGACTCTTCCCTTTGCCTTAGTGATTTGGGGGTCCCAAGATTCATTTTTCTTTCACAGCACAAATGCTTGTACACAAATGTTCGTAGCAGTTTTACATGTGCTGGCCCCAAACTAGAAATAATCCAAATGTCCATCAACAGAGAAGGAAGTTATAGTGTATCCAACAATGGAACAGTTTTGATAAAAAACATCAATTGATATATGCCACAGCGCGGGTGACTCTCTAAGTCCGCGGTCACAGAGGACAGGCATGGTTGCAGTCTTCTGTCTTACACAAAGGGGCGCATTGCATGATTCTAGCCGACGCACCCTCCTCTGTGGTCAGAGCAGATTCCTGGTTGCCTGAGTGGGGGAAGGGAAGAATTGCCAAGGGGCACACGAACGTTTGGGAGCGGTGCAGACATTTGCGGTGGCTCCCAGGGGTATGCGTGTCGAAACCTAGCAAAGCTACACTTTAAATACTTGAAGTGAGCCAGGCGTGGTGGCTCACACCTGTGATCCCAGCACTTTGGGAGGCAGGAGTTTCAGACCTGCCTGGCCAACTGGCAAAATCCCATCTCTGCTAAAAATACAAACATTCTCCAGGCACAGGGGTGGGCACCTGTGGTCCCAGCTCCTTGGGAGGCTGAGGCAGGAAAATCACTTGAACCCGGGAGGCAAAGGTTACAGTGGGCCAAGATCGCACCACTGCACTCCAGCCTGAGCGACAGTGCAAGACTCCGTCTCAAAAAATAGATAAATAAATAAATACTTAAAGTGTGTTATGTGTTAATTATACTTCAATAAAGCTATAAAAACCGAAAAGGAGGCCGGGCGAGGTGACGGTGCCTGTGGACCCAGCTACTTGGTGGGCTGTGGCTGCAGGATCACTTGAGCCTGGGAGGTGGAGGCTGCAGGGGGGTGGAGGCTGCAGGGGGGTGGAGGCTGCAGGGGGGTGG